GTGGCTGGACACAGGGTTATGCTCTTCATTCTCAAAACAGGCTGGACAATCACTTAAATGTGTCACTTCATAATGTCATAAGATACATTTATTTTTTAAAAATCTTTGTTGGCTATTTGTGTAGAATGATATGTGTCCTGGTTTCGGCAGGGATGGAGTTGGTTTTTCACATATGACATATGCCACTTGAAATCGGAGCAGTAAATGTATTTATCCAATATTTTCTTAGAAACTTTTTCTATACAAAAGGTAAAGAAAAGCATCTTTAAAGGGCATAAACACCCTGTAGAAACTACTACCCATTAGTAGTACTACTCATCTGACAAACAGAAAAATTCTCTTTTTATTTAAAACTCAAAACCACTCTACCTAGGAAGAAACCAAATCTGAAGAGAGTCACCCCCATCAGTAGAGGAAAGATGGCCTGCTTATAGGGAACATTGCTACTCCGGCTGTTATGCAGCTCTTTTAGTACATTTTGCCAAAAAATTACAAGTCATCCTGAGACACTGATTGGTTGTACACATCCTTTAATATTTTAGAAGAGACACTGACTCCTCCTCCTTATGCCTTTCCATGTCTTTCACAATGAACTTAAGGCCCACTAGCTTTTAAATCTAAACAATGGTAGTTAAGTGATGCCTTAAGTTATACCAAAAAGCATGACTTTCTTAAATCATGTTAATGCAAACAGTGATTGTTAATTGTCATCTTAGCATACACAAGCAATTAACTTGATATTTATGTTAAAAGATGTGATAGTTCTTTGCCTTCATGAAACAAAAGTTGTGCTGGATTCTCACCCCAAAGAAGCTATGGAAAATTGCGACTAATTAAAAACAAAGATGCAACTGATTTTTGGTACTGGATGTACACCTTGATAATTCAGATATGGTTAATTCCAACAAAGGAGAAAATTGCTTCTTCTGAATGGTTTTGGCTGCTTTTGTAATATTACTAACAAATCTAAAAAAAACCCCTATATTCATTAAATCAGACTATTCTGCTTTTTAATAAACGTAACAAAAGGAACTAATGGCAGTGGCTGCTCCAAAACAAACACGACAAATTTTCTTGGAAAGCCACCACAGATCATAAATATCTACAAACGACAATCCTCTGTCTTGAACTTTTTGCTGCATTTCAGGAGCAAGAGAGTGAGTAGTCTATGGCCTATAGTTGCATGACACTTCTTGCGATGAGACTGGCATTTAAACAGAGCCGCGGGACCAGTGTCGTTTACTCCACGGGACTGGAAAACGGCTCTGCAGACAGCACTGCGGCAGGATGAATGCACGACCCGTGGTAGTCAACGGTGAGCAGGGGAAGGGGAGCCACGCGACTCTTGCTGACGCAACTGGTTGGCACGGTGCTACTGTTATTTATTAGTTGCATGACAGTAGGTTACCACTGAGAAACCACCTTGTTTCCGAATGTGACCTTTCCCATTTTTCTTCTCTCTTTCCTACCACATGGGAAGTCAAGGCGTTAGTGCCACGCAGTGTATGAATGGCTGGATCTACCACTTCTTGACTCATCCTCGTTCCAGTCCTGTACAAAATCCTCTCCCTGTGTTAACGTCAAGCACGGTGTTTCATATATAAACCTACAACGTATGTCACAGCATACTATGCTGATGTACCATATTTCCCACACCAGTTTGGCTGAAAGGCCTCTGTAACAGACAGCAGAGCAAATGGACAGGGCTACAGTAAAAAAAAAGTTTCACTACGTCCTCTTTCATTTGACTTAATTTATCTTTTCTGAATATTGCATTTAGAAAAACAACAAAACCTTGCAGTAGCATACTCATTGGCTATAAAATACAGGATCTATTTCTTTATTTAGCCTTATCTTACAATTTTTCTAGAGCTTTGGCCAGAAAACAAGAATTACTCCTAGCTTACTCATTACTGCTACTAGTTGTGCCATTGATACACTCATTTAACAAGTCTGTATAATGCCAAGAACCATTAAGGCCTTGACTTCAGTGGAGAGTTTTTAATCAATATTATAAAATAGTAACAATTAAATTAAGAATCTCAGTTTGTTGTTTTAGAAGTAGCAGCTTATCTTGGATGCAAAGTAGATGTAAAATGGATAAAAGCTTTTTGTTTTCAAAAAGTCTGAGATTTTTGCCAAAATCCCACATACAAATGAGGGTGACAGGAAAGTTGCTGTCTCTTTCAGTGACATACATGAATTTTGTCCCTGCCATATACTGGTGCTCTCTCTTTTGTCGTCTGAGAAATACCACTAAAAGAGAGCTGAAACTACTTTTTCATCTCTGGAAGAGACTTTCAAACACCACAATGATGGATCAATATTTTGTCTGGATGCAGTGTGGCAGTGTAGGAAAGGAGGAAAAAAAAAAAAAAAAAAAGAGTAAAACATTCAGACATTCAGATACTAATGTGAGAAAATATATTCAGAAACACAGACCTTAAAATAAGCCTTTTGTGATATCAAAGTCCTTCTGATAAAAAGATTGAGAAAAGCTGGGAGAAAATAACACTAAAAAATTTTGCAGAACACAGTGACCTTATTGACACGACAGTCTCAGACCTAACTAAATTAACAGAAAGTATTTCGCTTCTATATTTATGTCAGAGCCCTCACTAAATTTACCTGTACCATCTAGATATTCTTTTGTTAGTGAAAAAAATCAGGGGTAGCATTTAAAATAAGATGCATCAAAAGAATAATTCAAAATTCTTGAGCAGTCTCAAAATTGAAATAAGACCTTTGCCTTTTAAGGAGGAATGTTAAATGGGTGGATCTCCATTTATCAAATTTACCTTCATTCAGAATTTTAATTGAAAGCCACAGCGAGTAAGGGAAGATACTCTTCATCAGGCTGAACAGCTAACATATATTTATGTTATACATAACATAACTGTATACATGTATTTATGAATTCAACTAAAGGAAGAACATTTTTATCTCAATTAGTTGGCACACTGAAGTTCATGTAAATTAAGAGAATAAAAATAATACAAATTTTCAGAAAGTTCTACAGCTAGTTTTGGCGACCTTTGCTTTTAAAAAAATTAGAGAGGAAGTATTTTGGAGATTCAATGAGAAAAAAGCCCCCAGATTTGATGAGGAATGTTAGAGTGATTCTAGCAACTGAATAGAAAGACGAGAGGGGATTTTGATGCTGAGAAGAAAGGACTGAGCAATGTGCAAAACACTGACTCTAGTGATATAGAAATAAAGACAACACAGCAAAGGGTGAAAAAAAAATTAATTTGTACTGCACAACATGCCTTTTAATTGGCTGTGTGCATGTAGTGGCCAAGCTACTATGCTGGGGTGAGCTACAGGCTACTGGGTTCATTTAGGATGGATGTAACTAATGACCACTTCTGTTTTACAGGAAGAAACGTAGAAGAGAGAGACATGACATCATCGCTTTGAAACAAACTTCCACAAAACCCAAAGTTGATTATTGTTTGAGCTCACAAAAACCATGCAGAATTTTTCACTATCATTACTAAACTCATAATATTTGTGCTTGTGTAAGAGATGATTATCCGGAGCTAGTAAAATCACATGCTTTCTGGCTGAAGTCAATTGCTCAAAATACAAAACCTGAAGGGCTTTTGTCCCTCCTTTTCCTTTTATTCAAGTGTCCAAGTTGCCTAAGAACACTATAAGTTTTTAAATTTCATGGGAAAGATCCAAAATATGAAATAGTTTCAGTCAAAATACAGAATATACTGACAAGTATTTAATTCTGTAAAGCAATTTTAGATCCCCCCCCCCCCCTTTTTTTTTTAAGCTATGGAAATGACACTAGGCAGATCACAATTGTAACTATTAAAAGGAGAAAACCCACACTGGACTTATAAAAACAAGTACCCTAGTTTAAACATCCAGAGAAGTGTCTGACATACTCAGACATATTTGAAGAACAAATGTAGTGCTCTCAGTGGTGATTTAGAAAATCACAGTTATATCAGTTTTCTTCTACTGTAGGAAAAAAATAAAAGCACAAAGGTTTTAAATAGCAAGCTAAGGTTGAGATCCTTTCTATGTTCAAAGAGGAAGGAAGGAAGGACAGAGAGCTTTTTTAATAATCCAAATTACTAATTTTCTTAATACAGAATGATTATAATAAAAGTCTGACCTGTACCTGTGTGCTAGCCTTCCATACTAGCAGTAATCAGTCATAGCTGTAATAGTCTTCAGGACCCAGTTGAAGAAGCATTTCTCAATCATGCATGTGGCTCAGTAATTTATATATTATTTCCTATTGATGCTGGAGATAACTAACCAGACTCTCTTAATCTACTTAAGACTCAAAACAAGTTGAGCTCGTGCTCAGTGAGTGAGTTGGGGACACAACATCATCTTCTGTCCCCACCACAAGCATGCTGTGCTCCCATATTTAACCAGAGGAACCTTTCCAGCCATCTCCTGCAGCTCTCCAAGAGCTTTATGGTGTCCCAGCTACTTTCAGTAGATAAGCTAGTTAGTGCAGGCCTGCCTTTACTACAGAGCAGTCCCAGTAGCAAATACAATGGTGACTTAGCTAAAAGTCATAATGTGGACTGGAAGAAACATAAGTTATTATAAAACATGTGTATGTATATTTTTTAATAGATGGCATGGCATTAAGGTGAGGATAAAAAAAAAAGTAACAGTATCCTCTGCCAATATATAGAGACCAGTGATGGGAGCTAGCCTGCAAATGACTGCAGAAAAGGAAGACAACAAAAGCCATCAGAAGCCTCATTTCAAAACCAAGTATGGGGAAGTAAATGGGATAAATAACGGCAGAAATTATTATTAAATAGCTGCAATTGATACTTACAGTACAGCTGACTACTACTGGCTTTTAAAATCAAGAAATTGCACAAGCCATTCTCTCTCCTCCCTCCGTATACAATAACCTGACTTTAATAAGGAAGTTTCTCTCAACTGTCAAGAATATCGTTGAAAATATTGCAAAAAACATTAAAGATAATAAGGAGATTTAAATGTAATTTACCAACCTTCTTGTAGTCCATTATATTTCCTTTGCTTTGTGCCTTGAAGAGAAAGAGAGATTTTTTTATAAGGCATTACATACTACAAACTAGAGTTGCAAGAATAAAGAATGCAATTAAAAGAGCTACTACTTTCAACATAATTGACTTTCTTTAGGAATCTGATGTGGAAAAACCTAAAATACAACCAAATATATTACCAGCTTACACAACATGGTTCTGTTTCAGATGAGAGTTGCAGATACTCAATATAATTTTTAGGTTTTTTATGACTTGTGTTAAACATTTGCTGAATCCAAAATGTTTTGGTCTTAAGAAATCTTGCTGTTTGCATTAAGTAATCTCTCCCATGAGATTCTGAAATAAACTATACTTCATATCAGAAATAACCGGATTTATTTTTTTAAAAGAGAACTCTCCATATATCTATAGTGATTTGCACACAGCTCTCAAAAAGAGATGTCAGGACCACTGTTAGACCTACGTTAGAGGTGCTTTTGGTTTAGAATTGCATTTAAGTATCAGCATCACCCTTTACTTAAGCAGCAGATACATACAACCTACAACTCCTAACACATTCAGAAAGAAGTATGAATAAATTTTAAATTTCTTCTTGCCCAGATGCAGTAAAGTATGTAGTCCCATTTCCTCAATTTTGTCACAGGACGATGTAGAAGAGAAGATGTCTATGTCTTTCTCACCCAGTGGCAGTGCTCTGCCAGACCCAGAACATTCCTGCTTAACCAACCTGAAGCCCTTCCCTTAGAAGGAATATGGATCCAGCTGTATCACTATCACTTCATCCAACTCCAGCTCGACTCTTTTCAGGCACATTGAGAAAAAAAATGACCTGTTTCTTTCCCTCTAGTCTCCACAAGGGAAGACGACAAACCTCAGTTCTTCTGGAACGCGTCTCCTGAAAAGGTGTAGATTAAGACCGCTACCTCTCCATGTCCTCTGTGGGGACTTCAGAAAGCAGTTGAGAGCAGCAGGTCAATTGGCATAGGGAGAAGAGTTGAAGCCTGCACTGAAGAGGACTGCTATGTGGCAAGCACAGCTTTGAAGACGTGGCACAGATTTGGAAAACAAATTAATTTTTGTAAGGGAAGAAAAATAAAATAGAGAAAAGAACCAGTGAGAGACTAAGCAAGCAGAAGAGGAAGGAAAACAGTAGAAACCAAAACTGATTTCACTGGAGGAAAAAGGGGACTGATCCACAAAACCTCTTTTCTACTCTCTTTAAGCTTCTTAAGAGTCAGCTTTTCTGGAATGCATATGAAGAAAACAGCCTGATAGCATGTGGGAGTAGCAAAACCACTGCCAATAACTGCTTCCTTATTTGTGTATTCCCATCTCTTTGATTTGCCAACTTCATACCGGTCGGATGTTATGGCTTCTTCAAAATATATTTAGTAGTTATATTGTGTATCAGAACACACCAGAAATATGTTCTTTAACAAATGACTGCCTATATGCAGATTCACAGTGCAGTGGAGAATTTGCCAACACGTTTGAAGAAGATGTTTTTTAGTCTTAGCAATACCAGAAGAGGTGTGCTCAGCATGCCTCCTCCTGCAACTAATACACGTTACAAACAGCAAGAATATTTTCTCATGCTCTGCTCCTCTCAAGCATTCGATTCAATGGCAGTCGTGCTCCTCCAAGCAGCAATCTTATCTAGCCTGTTTCTTAAGCGTTCTTTACTACCACTGCACCTTTGCTTTTTTCCTTTCTTTTTATTCTCACAGTACTTTGGCTCTTTTGACTTTTACTGACCCCAATTTCAGAAACACAGTTTTAGGTTTTTTTTTTTTCCTTTTACATCATACTCCTGCATCTGGTTTAGCTTCCTCAGAGGTATTAAGCCTGATTTGCAAAAGGTATGCACTCTTGTCAAACTTTGATAACTTTCTAGGTCTCACTGCTTGGCTGGGGAGCTCAGCCTCTGAATGTCAGGGCTCTGGGCCCTCAAAGAATAGCATATCAGACATGAATGGCCAACTCAGCTCAGCCTTCCTCCTGAACACCAAAGATCACCATGTACCAGTAGTGAGGGACAATAATACCATGACATTCTTCATTAATAAATGAGGTGGTATGAAATCAACTCACCTTGCCAGGAAGAAGGATCCCTGAATCCTCCATGAAATGACTCAAAATGCATCAGATAAGCACACCACAAGTGGAAGGTTTAAGACAATGCTTTTGGAACAGGTTTTCAGGGTGTTTCCCAAGATTGACTTTTCTCAGATGAGATGGTCCCTCTTGCATGTGTTCCAAAACCCTGTACTTCAGAAGTGCTTGATAAGGCATTTGACAAATGCTTTTCTTCCAGCCCTGCCTCTTCTTTCTGAGAAGGCTCAGAAAGATACGGTGAAAGGTACATGGATTGCCTTGGTCTAGATGAGGTGGTTCTAGTTTCTGACTGATTCCTTTTATAGATTACAAATGCTACGAGCCAAGATGGATTCTAGACCTGTTCATGGATTCCGCTTAACTTCTTCATTCAAACTTTGATCTTTTGTACCTCACTGCTAAGATGTTGGATGCCTGTTCTCTGGAGACTTTTTGCTCTTGTCTAGCAAGAGGTATCTGTAAGTGGCTAAAAGTGACACTCTGCTGTCTTTTGACCCCTAGGTAATCCTCCGTTCTATAATCGCAGATTATCTGCTAAATTTTAAGAATACAGAGCTTTCAGAAAATTCAGTGGGACTGCATTCAGCAACTATTTCAACACTTTCTCTGAAGAAGAGCATCCAAGCACTTCGCCTACCACAGTGTTTCCTAGGAACGATTTAGGGTTGGGTGGGGGTTTTTTTTGGTTTTTTTGTTATTTTAAAAAGCATTTCAGGACTCTACTCCAACTGATATTCCTTTTAAAATAGACACCTGACCAAATAGTTCATTGAGCATTTTAGTTTTAAATGCACAAAGGTGGAAGGTTTTGGTGGTGAGATCAGTGAGAACAGGAGAGACTCAAGTCTTTATGGATGATCATTCATTCATGGAGATATATATATATATCCATGCATACACACACACATATACACATACATACACATTTTTTTCCTCCTGCGACAAGGTTTCCCCAAGTCCCTTTTAAGGCAGTCTCTAAATTTCATCCAAATCAGAATCTAATCTTCTCAAAACACATATATGCAGTGTTGATATAACCTTCCACACATGGATATCTGATGTATTTTGCTCTTTTCAAATGAAGAGACAAGGGGGCTTTTAAAAGGTCTTCAGCTCAGCAGCAGAAAGGTGCGTAAGGCTGCCTCTATTCAAAGGCTACCTTGGGAACAGCAACTGTACCCAGACGTCTGACAAGAGAACTGTGGTGAAACAGTCACAGAAGTTCTGGGCACTCCATAGCAATTCAGGCATGACCTCTCTGAAGACTGCCTTCATCCAAGATATGCAAGACAGGCTCTGAGTCCCAGTCACATGAGCAGTATACCGCTGCAGTGGCTACTAGATGCAATGGGGCTCTCTACCTCCACTTTCTTGAACTCCAAGACCTTCCTGGAGCAGGAAGCTGCCAAGGGGAGGTGCTGCCTTCAACCCATCGTATGAATGCTTATACAGGCAAACGATCAAAGGAGAAAGCCAGTTTATTTATGAGTAATTACAGGCCCATAATATGATTTCCATATGCCTAGTCAGCTACTAAGAAAAATTCTACCTGACAGGGACTGAGATTACTCTGCATGCTTTGCCTATTTATACCATACAAATGACATTGCACAAGAGGGTAGCTTATGAGCATTCTCTTACTAAGTACTGCCAACATAAGAAAGTCTCTGGTTTGAGAGCTTGGACTACCTTGAATGTTACATAGTGAATGTGACTATGGATGATATCTGAAAGAGCTTGTAGTTAATGAAAAGTAATTTTCCTTTCTAAATCAGCACAAGCCAAGAAAGGCTCCTGGACGAGGTGTTCCGGTTTGTATTTAGCTAAAGTAGTAGTTAGTAGATACTTCTGCATACTGCATGTCACCTTCACACACACACTCACTTTCCGAGAGAACTGCTTCATTGTTTCTGTAATGCCCATTTTCAGTATGAGAATTAGCAAGCAGACAGACGGCACTCCTGGAGTCCTGCAACCTCCTGATTCTGCAGATGGGAAATTGTTTCAGAGCTTTCATAAACTGTGCTGTGATAATACCATTATTCTCCAACTGCAATCATCCAAACTCATTTACATTCAGCTCGCATATGAGCCTTGTGTTGAGATTGTAGAATTACAAAATTCCTCATAGCACATTATAAACTAACAGCCCCTAATTTCAAAATGACAAAAGGTTTACTTCATTTTAAGACCCCCCCAACTCCATACCACTCTAAGGTTGTAGATTCTGCATATACTTGCCAAAATTTCACTGCTGAAGAGACTAGGCCTCTTGTTTGCGGTACGCGAAGGCAGGCTGCAACCTGGCCGTCATGAACCTACAACTAGGCAGATACTTGGATTCCACACCTTCTGCCCCAGAGTCCTGCTTCCAAGCCAACAAGGAAAGGAGCCATTGGCAAGCACATCCTGAATTAATAGGCTTGCAAAGAGCTAGCTTCTTATTGAAGGCCGCAGCCTTTCTACTGAAAAATCTGTATAACAACTGCAGGAATTTCCAAACAAGTACATTATCTCCGACTGATGCAGGAACTCAACAGAATGCTTAATTTTGGCTATTGTTGGGTGTTTCCCTCCCTTTCTCCCCCTGCTGTCTTATACAGTTATCTATTTATGTTTCAACAACACCCAGGAACCTATTCGTGGACCTGAACCCTGCTGTGCTACATGGTACGTAAAACAGATCTACACTACACAGCTACCTTATACTTACTGCCTTCTTCATCTAAGGGTTAGAGGAAAAGACAGCTGAATTAAGAGAACTGAGAACAAGGACATCAACCAGCTAGATCTCACAAATATTTCATAGTGGTCAGGAAGCCAAATTCCCCAGATCTTTTCCCCCCATCCAAGATTCCTGCTCCGAGAGCCAAGCTGGCAGAAGGAAATGTGCGCCTACCTTTCAACCACTATAATGCAAAGTTCTCTGCTTTAAGCTGCCAGTGAAAGCTAAGACATGGGACTGCACAAGTAGTGCAGAGGAACAGACATATGCTCCACGCAAATGAATCCACTTGTTACACTGACACACAGAAGTTTGACAGAGCTCAACTGTCAGGTCCCTAGATTTCCCCTCTCCCGAAAGCACGGAAGAGAGAGGTGCTACATACTGGAACGTAGAGGTAACCTCTGTATCATCTTTCCTGTTGTTAGTTTCTAGAGTTTCTTTGCAGATTTAAAGTATAGATAGAAAGAGAGATACAAATGTCAAACTAGGAAATTCTAAACAAGGCTTTAATTTACCTCTCTGATCTGTTTAATCCATGCCTCCCTTCCAAGGAATTCCTGATGCAGGACTGCCGGAGCAGAATTCAAACTGAAAGCCATTGTATCACTAGAACTTTCTTTAACAAATGGCTGAAGGTCCAAATGTAGCTGAAAGAGAAGAACATCTTTCTTTAATTGCCAGGAAGAGTCTATACATATCCACCCACTCAGCAGATCATGGTCCATATCCTGATCCTATACCTACTTGTCACTTTCTGGTTTGACATTTGTACTTTGGTCACACTTTTTCAAGTTTGGGGGAGAGAGAGGAAGAGGGGGAAGCATTCCAGTGGCAGAAACTTGTGGTAAAGAGAAGCATGTAGACAATCTGCAAAGAAATGGGTAAAGAACAGCTTGCAGAGCTGGGCAAGTGATGGGACACAGCCTGGTAGGCAATTTTTGAGTGTCAGGAAGCAAAAAAATATAAAGGAAGGAATGATCCAGTCTATGGTGGGAAGAATATCAGTTTTTAATCTGTGAAGGCTAATACATTCTACTTTTCAGTACCCAAGGGAGCTGATGCAATATGACCCTCCTTCCAACAAAGGAAACATTACATGGCTAGGAGCTTTCTATGAAAATTATGCAATCCTTTATACACAACTGTATGTCAATGGTGAATGTATTAATATTAAAGCATACACAAAATATTAAGGCTATAGTCTGCACCAGAAGCAATTTACTGTTAGACTTGTACCTAGTAATAGCATATAGTGGCATTTCTACAGCAGTAAAGCTGTGCTTTATAAAACCACTTCCTTCTCCTGAAGGAACTAGAAACTGTATAAACCAAGTCAGCTGAAGCGGATGGGAGGTCTCTCTGCCTGTCTCAAAGCTACATCTATACCTGCAAGTAGTGCAATACAGTAGGAGCAGATCTTTAGGGCAAAACAAGAGTGTCAAGGACATGAGTGTGTGTGTTTTCCTTTGGACTAACTCTAGCTGTGGACTGAAAGACTTCTAATGCAGGTCAGAGGCCGTCTCTGGGAAATCCTACAGCTGCAGAGGCGTAGGCTGCTGCTGCCCGTACCTGGTGACCTCCCTCCTTATCCCTCAGCTACCCCTCCGTAAGTTACCTCCACAGCAGGTGATTCAGAAGGGAACATGTGGGTCCTTCAGCCCTCAGACTCATGTGCTGCTGCAGGCTGTTGAGCCTCTCAGTACAAATCTCTGCATGGTGGCAGCTGAGACCCAACACATGCTTCCTCCTGCAACTCCTGCTGCTGGGACAGTGGCTTCAAGAAGAACTTAGGAGCAGAGAAGGTCAAGTTTTAGGCTGCTACAGAAAGATGCGCTAGAGGGACATTAACAGAGCCTTGCATGAAATAAGCTACATTGCCAGAATTGTGATTCTGTGAATTGTGATTTTGCCAGTTCGTAAGCTCTGTTCATACCAGCAGTTTCTGCAAACATCTTCACACGAGGCAGCAGTCAAATCTCTCAACACCACTGACTGGCTGGCAAAAGTCAACAGCATAGTGGCAGTATACGACAGAGCTCAAGAGCAACATATCTTACACATCTTTCTGTTTTTAAGATCCCAGAAGGAAAGGAAAAGGCATACCTTATGACTCATAGACATGTGCTTTCCATACTGAAATGCCGTGTCCTGAATCTCAGCGTTGTGCTTTGCTAGCTCCATTGCAGCCTGGCAGCTCTTTGCCAGCAAGGCACTATGTGACAGGAAAACCTGCTCCTTCCACGTAGATATGCCGATATCATCTGTAAGAGAGTTCTCCTGAAAATGAAACAAGGGCTAACATGAAAACACCGAAGCTGCAGCTGTGTCAGCTCCCAGAAGTTAAGAAAGTTGCACAGGATAATGTGACACATGGTGAATAACAAAACTGTGGGTGCCATGGTGCCAAATAAAGAAGGGCATTCTTTTGGGGATGAGTAGAGAAAAGTATCAGAATAAAGATACTGGCAGTCTCAACAAACAACATTTTAATTTTCTTCTCAAAAAGAACAATGCAAAATACGTGGAGCTGTCAGCAGATTCAACATAGATCCTTTTCTTAATGACTGTATCATTGCACTGAACATTAACAGCTGACTATATTCCTCATGAGGGACTGGGGAGAAAAAAAAATTTACAAAAAACCAACAAAAAAACCCCAACCCCCCAAACCAAACTGAAAAACAAAACCAAAAACCCCACATCCCAGAGTACTTCTGCACTTCAGCCCCTTGCCAGTTACTGAGAATAAACAATCCCAGACAAACTCGAGAACTCCCTACAATTTCTCCTTTGCAGTCAAGAAAAGAATAATTACAAAAGGTATTAAAAATCCTTATAGAACTGCATTGGAAAAATGAAGGGCTGTGATGGAGGACTTTTACCTCTTCTACTCCCATATTAAGGATGAGGAATGACTGAAAGTATTAAAAAATAAATAAAGCTGTGATTTAGAAATGTCAGGCACTAACTTTCCCAGGGGACTGATAGAGATCTCTGTGATGCCTCTAGTGAACTTTATCACCTTGACTGTAAGGTCAGAGATGCTCATAATTTCTCAAAATCCTTTGTATCCAAAAATTAATTTGGATTACTTTCCACAAAGTGTTTTAATTTACACAAACCCAATCCTTTCCCCCCACACCCAAATTCAGCTGCAGCTCCTTTGTCTCACAAGGTGTTAATATGCCACTATTTTACTAATGGGTCTTCAAAGCTAGACATGACTTGTATCTTTCTCACATACACATGTTACTGTCACACCTTTAAGTATCCTTGAAAGAGGGAAAAAACCAAAACCAGAAAAGTCCACAGTTGTTTGCTTAGAACAAACGAACATAGTAATGAGAAGCTACAGAAAAAAATTCAAGCATATAAAGGTTAAAAAGTTGTAATTCCTCAGTTCAGCCAAATCTGCAGCATACACTAAGCCAAAAGGTATTCTTTAAAAAGAGTAATATAAAAAACCTCTTATATAACAAGCGTTTTCCCTCAAAGTGACGTCAATTAAATTACTTAGAAATGAGCAAGAAGTAATTCTGTGTGACCCTATAGTTTTCTAGCAAGGTATTATCTGTCACGAAATCGGTAACAAATGAAATAGAATCCATCCGTTCAGCTCTAATTTTCCTCCCTTACGGATATCACCCAGAAGTGCTGCGTTACAAGGGAGAGGATAATTTGAGACTAATGGAGAAAGTAGGAGAATTTTGCAATGCCAAGTAACACAGAGCTGTATCAAAATGCCTTTGCTTTCAGACATACTATTAACTTATACAAGGAAAGTGAAGAACAGAGAAACCACATGTTTGCTGTTATGCATATGATAACTTACAAAGTAAAGCCTAAACTTTCCTCATGTTTCATTTCACTGTAGTATTTTTGTTTTAATATCTTAACTCAGCCCAGAGCATGTGCAAATTCCCATGACTGGCAAAATGTCAAAATGAGCATTTAATTAATGTAGTTTCCTATATATCAAGTCTTTTCTTTTTTTCCACTCAGATATAGATCAATTTATTTTAAATTTAAAATCAGGAGCTCTTGGAAGATGCAACACATTCTTTTCCTTAACTACCAATCTGCTCAGAAAAAAAACAGTATTTACTAAAATTTCCTGGATGATATTGAAAATTGGCAGTGATTTTTATAATTATTTGTTTTAAATCCAACCAAGACAAAAATATTCTACACAGATATCCTGAAACAGGTTATGAAGTTAAAAAATCTTTCAGAAGACCTATAGTTGAAAATGTTTGCTTGTTGGAGCCTTTGAGCAGTAACAGAAATGCGGACATTATCAAATATCAGCTGCAGGAACTGGAGAAGGTTAAACAGTCATTGCAATTCGATGTAGACAAAGAAATTAATCCTATGATTTGTTACGAAAATATATTATTCTTAAACAAGTTTGAATTTCATCACAGGATTGAAAACAACACAAGTTACTGTTCTACTACATGCGCATCATGTAGGAGCTTCAAGCATCTAAAAGGGACATCTAACAAAAAAAAAAGACAGAAATTTGAGACATATTTGAAGATACGGTATTGAAACCTTAAAAGCATAGGTCCTGTGAATCTCTGTGTTACAGAAAGAAGGCAGTTGTAAACAGGCACTATGTCCATATGAATGTGCTTTAGCATATGTGGTTGCAAGCCAAAATATAGCTGATTTTAATCACAGAACATCTTATGACCACATACACCTAAAGCTTCTGCAGCTTAAGAAGGAAGAGGCAGAGACAACCTTTCTTCAGCAAAGTTCTCCAACAATCCAAATGCCATTTTTTCCCAAGCTTAATTCTCATGTTACATATAAACTGTCTACCAACCACACTGCATTCTTACAACAAGGGTGTGTATGACAAGATCTAAACACTACTTTAAATACATAACAACATCAAGGGGAGAATGAAACTAGTTCTACATTGCAAAGTCTGTGAAATCTGACAACATGACAGCACTTCTTATTTTTAAAGAAATTTTAACTTTTTTGTAAGCTTTGTTTTGTCAGCAATGGATATTTCAAAGGGTAAATATAAAAGGACATTAGCTGGCCCAGAAGACTCCTAGCAGCCTTTCATATAAAAGCCTTTTTAAACACAAATTAATTCTAGCTGTAGTTGACAGTGCTCAGACATTTGATTAACTAATGCCTATGGAGTGACCTCATTCACAAGTTGTGTCACCAAGAAATGGGTCCAGATCACAACCAACCCTGATGATGTCTGGGTAGCAGAAGCTGGATGAAAAGAGCCGAACCCCTCATCATCCCTGGAAGAAAGCAGTCAACTCCAGATACAGCTGGGATAATGTCGGCATGGGAGTACACGGAAAATATCCAAATCCAGCTCTGTCGATCATCATTTCCTATGGGAAATTAAGAACAGCTGAGGGTGCTCCCATTTTACTAATGGCAAGGTCAGTTACTGTTTTGTTAGAAAGAAATTGGCTAGTTGAGATTTTTTTGTTAAGCTACTTCCATAATTTAAATTGGGTTTGAAACAATCATCTCAGGCAACAGGAAACAAAAAAAAATTTAGAAAATGAAATTGCAGGACAAAATATGCAATCATAATCATCAGGAAAGGCAGCTCTTAGTAATGGTAACAAGGATCCCCAGTACAAAAGTGGCACTTGCAGTAACTCAGCTTGATTTGTCAGACCAAAGAAGATGCTAATAAACAGTTCAGCTGAAAACATATTAAAGAAAATATGAATGAAAACTGTGTCTTAAAAGTGCACAAAACCATTTCCAAAAGCAGGAAGGAGTAGAAGCCAAAGACTTTTCAGTGTAAAACTTCAGCTATAGTTTGTAAGGGAGCCTTTATTTTATTTCCATACCATGGCAGCTCGCTCTTAGCCATCTGCTGTTGCACAAAATGATGGAAATGTCTGAACCACTTACATAAAACTTTAGTTCAGTTTTCAATTGGCAAATAATCTACAGAAACACACAGAAATATTTTTAAATAGCATTTTAAAGTTTTAAATTAGGCAGTTCAAGAATTTCTATTTCACATAAATAGAATCCAGCGCAACTAAGAATCTCTACCAGTAGCAAGACCCTGCAAAACATCTTGCACATGGTTCACATAAGCTTTCAACAGATGTATTCCTGCTTGCTGAACATGACAGGGCATGTTTTATTGGTCTATTAATATACATCTTCACTGCTTTTGGGGGAACAAGGGTGTCTGCAAATAGGTCAATAAACCATGCCACTGACTACCTAATACTTTTATTGTGACACCAAAGAAAAAGCAACACATGATTAAAAAAAAAAAGTTTTAAAACTTATAATAAATTTAAATATCTCTCCACATCTGTTACTTTTAAGTCTCTCTGGAAAAGCTTAGTATTTAAAAGAACAAAAGCAGTAAACAACTAGCATTGGCCTTCTTTCTAGCTATGTTTTTTTTTCCCCCATTGACACATTTACCCATTCTTTTCACAGATGCTCTTTACTCAAATTCCATATTTTATCCTTCCCTTTCATCTTGCAAGAGAAACATTTGTTTAAAAAAAAAAAAGTGAAAGCTCTGACTCTGCTGCCCTGCTAAAAGGTGGTTTATGTGATTCAAAACACATTTGATTTACCTCCTATGGTAAAATTTATAAGCAAATCTTTTACTTATAACATAGACTCATAGCAGTCCAATTGATGGACATGTGCAGTATCCCAAAACATTACTCCTCAAAGGAGTAACTGGTGACCAAACATCAAAGAACTGGTACAATTCACTGCATGTAGTCTATGCTTTGCCAGAAAAAAAAAAAACTTATTTCCATTAAAAAACCCTACACTGGTCTAAAACAAATACCTCTTAATTCACTATTTGGTACAATGAGTACTTGCCACCAATATATTTCTTTTTAAACTTGTTTTACATATCAGTTATGTACAATTTTCAAAGAGTTGCACTGAAAATTTCAAAAATACCAAACAGCTCTTCTGGCCATCAGTGGAACGTATTGGAAACGGTCTTGTCTTACATAAAAGTCCCATTCTGACACTAAAAATGAGTTTTGGTAATGCACATTTAGCATCAGATAGATATTCTGGAGGTGAGGAAAAAAAAACCCAACCAAGCAGTTTCCCATGGAAGTCCCTAATACTTTAAGATTGCAAGAATGGTCTGGCAGGTAAAGCACAAGAGCCACCACACTCAAGTCCTTCTCTTGATTCTGCTGTCAGACCTTGAGCTTCCCTATATCTCTTACCCCTGTTCAGTGAACTGACAGGGATGTTAAAGCATTCTTCATTAATATTTGTTAAATTATCTGGACTATTAAGACAGAAGGTTTCTAAAAGTGCAACAGTAATCTGTGAGTTAGCAAACATTTTAGATGCCTTCAGTTTCCTAAAAGTGGGAAACAGAGACTCAGTTCAATGTTTTTTTCTGTTAAAAAGAGCTACCACCATCATTGACTGAAGGCCAAATTAGACAGCTTTCATCTTTGCACTCACTAAGGCACAATTTTTTACTTCCAAATCAGACGTACATTTAGGAAAGACAGACAGGAACTGGGAAGAACGTCCCTCAGTCACAGAATTTTGGGTTGAGAGGAGATTTAGCACACAAAGCCACAAAGGTTTATCATATCACCCCTTTCTGCTCCAGCTTACAGTCCAAAATATTATCCTAGTATTGCTAATGCAATGTCTTAAGCCACAGTAGCTGTTTGGTACTTTGAACATGAGTGGCAGCCATAACCTTCAGGCTGTCTTTGCAATTGAAGCCTACACTTTGTAGTTTGGATCATCACTTCAAATAAAGATGAAAAGTTAAATATTATCTTTATTTTCCTCGTTTCACACAGATCTAATAACTCACTATGCAGACAATGACCCAACAGAATGTACTAAAATGGGATGGCTGTAAGATTGCATGTGGTTTTACTGAGGAGAAAAGTGGTAATGAGAGCTATCAAATAATTATATCCATTATATGTCTTCAGGAGTAAAGAAGGCCAGTCTTGTTATGTCAAATGATTCTTTCAATTTTCCTAAGTCATCCAAATGAAGCAAACTGAAACATTTTTGGGGGGGTAAACATGAACTTTGGGTCTTGGAGGTAGAAAGTTAATTTTGCAGTTATTTTTGTATTTTTGTCTACCATCTAGGTAGACATCTAACAAAGCTCAAAACAACCTGGTGCTAAATTAGTCTATTTTATGGTACTGAGGAGCTTTATAACAACTGCATTAAAGACATTTAACATATGAAGTACAGTTTTCCTCCTTCAAAAAGGAAAAAAAAGGTGAGAAGATACCCTTCTGCTTTTCCAAATTTAAGACACTCCCAGCAATAAAAATGCCATTAGTAACATCCCTATGCCCTACTCTTAAAAAGAAATAAGGTTTGACATTTGAGATTTAGTTGCAGAGTAGATTAAAGCATTTGTCTTACCTCTAGAAAATGTAGTTCACATTCTTGTTTCAGTCAAATAGGGATGGAGGGAAGATGCATAAAGGATACAAATAAGACAGACCAACAACCGACCTAGTGCATTTGGCAATCTTTGCTAAAGAGATGTTCAAGACATGAACGGGACACTGCCTCAGCAGAATAGCGTGGGGAAAGCAGCAGGGATGAGTCTCCTACACAACATGGAACCAAGTTTCTTACAGGACAAGGTTAAAAATAAAAAAAATTAAAATAGTTCCCACACTTGTTTGCTGTAGGACTTGTCAGAAGCCACACACTAGCCATTATAAAGACTAAACTTCAGACATTACCATGTAAATGTCAGTATCTATTATGCCATCGTATTAATTGCATTTTGAGTTAACCGGGTTCCCCTTAGGAAGGGTATATTGTACTTTCAAATATCCTTAGACAGAAAAAGTCACTGAAACAAAGTAAGTCTTTGCTATTTGTAATTGGGCCAGGGCAGGGTAAACATCATGCAGCTGTGCTTAGTTTATCTCACACTTCTCTTGCAATCTACACACAGGGAGTGCTTCAGTAACGCGACAGAACATATGCAGGAAAAGAAAGACTAAGAAAAAGAAGATTAAGACCTTCTGCAGTGGCAGCAACCCAAAAGAGTCCACAACATTTCTCATTTGTACAGGGGCCACGGTTAAAATAAAATGCAGCTTCATTGCTGAGATGAACTTGTAGAGCTTTACTTCTACACACAAAAGAGTAGTTGTTTTTTTAAATATGATAAATCTGGTATCTACTTGTATTTAGAAACCTGCCTGAATACAGAAAATAAAATTTTAAACATCCTTTGCAAAAATCTCAGACATCTATTTTAACATACAACCCTGAGCACAGTACTTGGGAGCAACCCCGAAAGCTGAAGTCCACAGGTTAAACTCGGCAGGGGCAGAAGGACCTCCCAGGTTCCCAACACTGCACTGCTGCCATGCTTCCCCCCAGGGTCCCCTCCTGAGGACGCTCTGTGCACGTCGTCCTCTGTGCGCAGCCATGCTGCCTGGCAGGCCCGTGGCGCCCAGCGTCTCCCAGGCGTGCCATTACCGCTTCCCTGCCGGCGGCTCTCGCTTCTTCCGAGGTAAGAGCTCAGCTCATCGGTGTGGTCGCTTCCTACCTAACTGGTTTCAATCAAAATGAGAGGGATAAGCTTAAATGAGGTTAGTTTTAGGAACACGTCTTTGCTGCTGCAGAGCAGGAGAGAGACATACTGACCGGCGGAGTCGCTGGGTGCAGCAGCACCCTCCAGGGCCCAGCCGCCGACAGCTGACGGCACCCTCCGCTTGCCCACTGTGGTTTGGCTGGTGCAGAGCCATCAGTGCAGGTATAGAATCACAAAATGGTTTGGGTTGGAAGGGACCTTTAAAGGCCACCTAGTCCGACCCCCCTGCAGTGAGCAGGGACACCTGCAACTAGACCAGGTTGCTCAGAGCCCCGTCCAACCTGACCTGGAATGTTTCCAGGGATGGGGCATCCACCATCTCTCTGGGCAACCTGGGCCAGTGCTTCACCACCCTTGTTGTGAAAATTTCTTCCTTCTATCTACTCTGAATCTCCCCTCTTTTAGTTTAAAACCATTACCTCTTGTCCTATCGGAACAGGCCCTGCTAAAACGTTTGTCCCCATCTTTCTTTTATCTACTGTAGCGATAAGCCACGCGATCGGGGCTTCCACTAAGGTATTAATTTTGCCACATACTACAACGTGGCAATAGTAAACCAGAGCTGCAATCTAAATACACAACAAATAAAAATTAATTCATATATTTCTGCAATCTTCAAGCCATTTCACCTACTGAACATTAAAATTCAGGCCTCTGAGGCAAACTAGGCACGTGAGACAACATCACTATAAGTAAATCTACCTACCTCAGTGGATTTCAGGATAGATATTCACATATACACACTGCTCTTCATTCCCATACAGTGAAAACTTGCTATCATAAAACTTGTAGAGATCATGGCAACTTTAAGTTATCAATTGTTTGCATGTGTTAAGATACAGTCATAGCAAATGAAAGAACTCTTTTTTTGCTTCAACACCCTGCCAGTGCAATCCTACTTCAAGAAGTGTCTCTACAAGCTTCCTTAAATATTCTAGTAAAGACAAAAATACCTAGGTCTAATTTGAGCAATTTTCATTACAGTTCTTGCCACAGGGTAACACAGTACATCTGGAATTGCCCTTGAAGAAATACAAGATTATTTGGTGTGAAATGCTGGCAGCTGCTCTCTTTGCCCATGCAGACTCCTGCAATAGGTACACCGTGACTTTTAGTGGAGAAGAGTACAGTGCTACACTCCTACCGCTTCAGGACAAAACTCTTGTTTATGCTATTAAAAGGTGAACACTCAAAAGAAGAAAGGACCCAATATAAATTTGGGATGAAGCATTTTGTAAACACCTTTGGGCTTGGAAATGAGAGATTTAACATGAAAGTATTAATTACGTTAACAACATATTAGTTGTCATATATATAGTAATAAATGCCTTTAACAGAACCTTGACTAGAAACCTCTGGAAGCGTTTGGAAATCCCATAGTAAGACATGTCTAGAGCTCCTGGTAATGACACATTATATTATTTTATCAAGAACTCATAGAAATAAAATAGTCCCTATTTGAGCATTTCTAGAAACTTCCATCAGAGTTCACAGGTGTCATAATGATGTTATTGCTGAAACTCACTGGGACTGCAGCTAGTTCTCTTCCTCCCTCTCCTTCCTCTTTTTAGACAGATGAGAAAGTCATCATATTTACTACATTCATACATTAATATCACCAAACTTCTTCGGTATGTAAAACTACTGAAATTCTTACCTCAGATGATTTTGAGTTTTCATAATATATACCTTGAACTAAGTCACCAATAGCACTTGAAATGAGTTCCACAACCTGTAAAAGAAAAGGAGAAAAAGCATTACATCTTTAATTGTCACCAATTTACTAACAAAGCTATTGCCAGATTTCCAGAGACAGACAGTCATAACTTTCCTTGCAGAAAGCTCGTTGTGAAAGACTGCAGGATTTACTGGGATATGTTCTGCACAAGCATGATCCCGTCTCTCTGCTAAAACCTCTACTACAGGAACTCTTCTGTCAAAGTTTTAAGCTAACATAAATGAAAAAAAAAAAAACTTTTTTCCTTTTTTTCTAAAATGTGAACTATGGAGTGTATTCTCACAAGAACGTTCACAAAACTAATAAATCCCAGTTCATGAATATGAGACAGTACCTCATCCGGGCTTTGTTTTGTTTTGTTTTTTTCCTGCCAAGTAAATACTTCACAATACCTCTCATTGGGAGCTGTTAAAATTCTAATCTTCGTGGCTAATACAGAAAAGTCAGAATCCATAGAAAGGTAACCTTTCAAATGGGATCATTTGGTATTCGGGTGCCCTGGGAATGCACTGTGGATGTATTTAGTGCATGGCCTGAGGCTCAGCTGTACCACATACACTGAAAGTCTGCAACACAGGAATGTTTAAATCAGATTTATCAATCTGTATTATCTTCAGGGTTCAGACTTCTTATTTTATTCAAGTGAAGCCTAAAAATCTGAACTTGATCCAAAATGTAAAACAAGTAATCCACAATCTCCCTGGAACTACTGTACAATTTAAAGTCATGCACATGAACTGTCTTAATTGGAACAAAATACTCAGATTTATTGTAAAATTAAATGCAGGCATTTCAAATAAGCACACCTTAAGGCTACCCCTTCAGTTGCTCACAAAGTTTTAATTTCTTGAATGTTTAATTTCCTATGCATATAAATCTATATCTGATTCCTCTTTTTGCTTCCTAAAGTTCAACGTAAGTCTTATTGAATTAACAGATTTAGTTTCAATTTTTATCATTCTTGTAACTGAAGACAAGAAGTCAAATGATAAAAACCCTAACAGAAAGATATTTTAACATCTAGGCATACTTTATTTGATAATAAAAACACATTTGTATGCTAGTTTTGAGTACTAGCAGAAAGGTTGTGTGTTTTCTTTTTTTTAAACACTGGCTCATATACATATTCATATACACAGAGCAAGCGCTAACTTTAGAAATGGTGCTGATTAAAAGTCATGTTTTTTCTTGCAATGCATATGGGTTAATTTGCAAGATCTATAAAAACAGCTTAAAAAAAAAAATCACATTGCCCTTTAGGAAACTAGATACTGAAGAAATATTGTAGCAATACGAGCTGCAAAGGAACTGAAAGGACAATGATCCTACAGTGTTGCCAGATGTGTTGAGTTATTTAAATGGAGAACAGAGAAAATGAGGGGCACGTTTTTTTCTCTCTCTCCCCCCCCCTTCTTTTTTTTTTTAAGGTATCAGATAAGCCCTATTACCAAATCCAGGAGGATTGAGTATCGCCTATAGGTCTATGAAAGTCTGTAACTAAATGCCCAGGATCAGATTGTATTACAGTTTATACAAGCAACATCCCAAGATTCTTCTGATGGCTAGGACACATAATACAGATCAATCACTCACTAAAAAATGTTATGGTTTGTGAAATGGTCTGAGCTCAGAGACCTACACTGGTAATACGAAGAGGAATTTACAAAGACACCAAGTCCTACTCTAAATGTCAAAGTGATAGTATGAACTTTTAACAATGCATCTGGCTCTGGATAACTAGACCTTTTCCTCTCTCGCCTGAAACTCTAGACTGAGCAGGACCCTGTTTTGGGGGTTCTTTTTTCCATCTCTCCTCTCTCTTTTTAGTGCAACTCTACTCTCAAAGGCAATTTTAGCTGACTTAAAACAATCTCAGTGTAACATTTGTGAACAATTGTACCTCTTCCTCTTATAGTTTATAAAACATCTTCAGAGAATTAAACATCCACTATTTAGAAGAATCCATATATTAAATACCATTAGGCCTTCAGTGACATATTGAACACTGTATGTTAGCTAGAATTTAGTATTAATATTGCCTCCCTTCTTTCCAAATACCTCAGGTTTTTTTTCTTAATAATATTTTTCTAAGGTAAATGCAAGGCCATACAGATCACTACCAGGAATGAAATTCCAGTTTCAAAAGCACAGTGGGATGCTTGCATGAGGCTTTGTTACTTCATCAACCCTTAATCCGATCTATGAAAAGCATCTGCTGCATAACATCAGTGGCCTGGGGTCCTGCATGCTGGGAAAAGCAATGAAAAATGAGGAAACCAGGTAATTTTCCTCTGTATCCCAAACTGACACAGAGGAAGAAAAATTATTACAGATTCAGTAGTATTCTTGCAGTCAATAATACACTGACTAGTTCTTATGCAGCACTTTTCATCAGAAAACTTGAAAGCAATCAACATCCCCTGTAAAATTTATTCCTTCCTGTTTTATGTAAGGGGAAAACAGTGACAGGGAACTGATTTTCCCCAAAATCATGCAGCATGCCAGTGGAAGAGCAGAAAACAGTATCCAAGTCATCTCTATTCTCATCAGTGCCTTTCTGCCTGATCAGTGTCCTGTTCCACTTGCTGCCATTTCCGATAAGCAAGTTTGAAAAGCACGAAAGGTAGATGAAAAATCAAGTTGCTCCCAGCTGCTTTTCTTCTCTTCTCATTTGAAGATTGAGCTCCATTTTAAACAAGTTCAAAGACAAGGAAAGGGAATAAAGAACTGCCAGAATGAGTACCTGAAAACAGCAGTGTCTCAAGAGACCAAAGACAGCCTATTCATAACCTCTCTACCCACTATTTTTCCACTCCTCTATATATTTGAGAAGCCTGGTCCCTCTTAGGTACTTGAGATGAGCAGGAGTAATGTCATAGTGAGAGAAAACTTCAACACTATTTTTCATTTTCCACTCTGCATCAGCAGCTTCCAAAGCGCCCTGTTTTCTGCTTGTCCGGAGCAGCCCGGGGGATGACCCATTCCTCACAGGGGACAAGTACACATGCAAATAATTTCACAGCCTTTAAACCCATGTTCTGCAACAGTTCTGCCAGGGTTTTTGGTTTTTTTTACCCCTTAAGGAAGTATTACTTCAACACTTTTTGTAGAGATGAGATGTCTTCTGCTTTTAAAAGGCCAACACAAAGGCCATCAACCTATGATGAACATGGGGAAGAGAGATGGACCGTTAAAGCTAAAATCTCTCCTCCTATTTAGGCAGAATAAGTGTGTAACATGATGTAAATTCCGGACACAATCATGTCACGCCTGATTCCATAGCAAGACAGAGTTCATGGTCTGATATCTCTGATTTATGCAAATATTAAATAGTCCAGAAGCCTGTGCTACGTTTCAATGCCAGAAGAACTCTGTAGGTTTGAAGATCAGAAGCTTGGTGAAACTTAATTTGCCCTTTTCTGGTATAGTAACTTATCTGTTAGAAATGCACCGCTTTAGCCCTTCAAGGTTCTTTAAATTCACTTTGACTCTAGTTTCTCAAGCTCAGGTTTTCTAAATATTTATTGAAGAAATAAAACAAAGCAGCAGTAATTTTCTTAGCAGTTGTATTGGGTTTGCGTGGCAAAGTTTTGGTAGTGGGGGGAGTTCCAGGGGTGGGTTCTGTGAGAAGCTGCTAGAAGCTTCCCCCATGTCCGGCAGAGCCAACGCCAGCCGGCTCCAAGTCATGCCATCAAGGGTGAAGGCTGAGCCCATGAGCGACACTGGTAGCGCCTCTGGGGTAACATAGTTAAGAAGGGGAACAAGAAAACTACACAACTGCAGCTGGAGAGAGGAGTGAGAATACGGGAGAGAAATAACTGCAGACCCCAAGGTCTGTGCAGAAGAGAGGCAGGAGGGGCTTCAGGCGCCAGAGCAGAGGTTCCCCAGCAGCCCCTGGGGAAGCCCACAGTGAGTCCGGCTGTGCCC